AAAGAGTGAACTGCACATATCATGTGAACAGCGTATGATGTTTTCTGACACGTCTCTGAAACTGTCCATTTGCAGGATGAAAGCTCTATAGAAAGTGATGAGTTTGATATGAGTGACTCGACTAGGATGTCAGCTGTGAACTCTGACCTCAGCTCAAATCTGGAAGAGAGAATGCAAAGTCCTCAGAACCTCCAGGGCCAGCAGGATGGTAAGGCTCTCGTTTCGTACAGAAAATGCGGTATTGCCTTGTCTTTTTCCCATTCTGTGCCTTCATTTAGCACCTGCTGTGTCCTTTTCTTCATAGTGTGTTTCATTAGGTAATTTGAAATGTATGTTCCCTATGTCTCAGCATGAAGAGGATGAAGTTGGGGTTTTTTTCAGGTTAATTTATTTGTTGCTTAGGCAACAGGTGAATGCTTAGACCACTGTATGTTAAGTATTATTATTTTACTATTTTTATGTATGTAATGTGACCATACACAGGCATAAAAGGGAATGAAACTCAAACCTTTCTGAAGCAACCCAGAAGGCTGAGAAAGTTGTTTTTACTGGTTGAAATGAGGGAGAGGAGTGTGACAGAAGCATGGTTATTTGAGAGCTAGGAACTGGGATGTGATACTTAGAAGAAAGGATGAGAAAGACATACTCTGATAGGGAAATAGAGGTAAAAGAAGAGAAAACAGAACGAGCAGCATTGTAAATTTGAATGTTAATTATTTCTAGGTTAGTTACACCACAAAGCTAATTTGTTGGTGAAAGAAATGGAAGTTTTACTTTGTATAGAAGATGCATAGATGTGTACTCTTTGGTTTCAGCCCTTGTTATAGAACAAGTCAGATGGGCCTGGTTTGGAATGAACTTTCTCCTTGGCTATGAAGCTCACAAAGAGCCTGTCCACTACAGACTGCAACGGTGGCTCATGAGTGGCATGTGAATGCACAATACCCAAAGTGCAGGTCTATTCTCTTGCTATTAGAAACAACATATTGGTATTCTGTACTTGTTACTCCATAATTTCCTGATCACGTGTGCCAGTTTGAAAGTGCTTCTTATGTTTCTGCTGAACACTAAATATATGGGATTTGACAGTTAAGCTGGATTCTTTCCGCTTTATGCATTGCGGACAATTGCTAGCTGGTAAGCTATTTAGGTGAGAATGGGTGTGCTGCATAGTGACTGATAGGATCTGGTGGTGGGTAGGACCTTCTGCTCTGTTGCTCTCTGGACAAATAAAGGAGGAGGATGTCTATGATAATTTGGTAGGCCAGATTCTAACCACAGCTGCCTTTTGTCTGAGTGTCCTCAAGCTATCACAAAATTTGTGCAACTTTTGACTTAATTTCTTTCTACATATGTTCACTAAAGGAGCAGTTCTGGTGCACAAGATGTAGGGAAATTTGACTTTTCAGGACTAATATATTATAATAATACTGCTAAGTTAGAGTTTTCAGGGATACTTTGGAAGGTGCCATTTTTATGTATCTGTCTTTCAGTGTAAAACTGTGCTTTAGAGGTTTTTGCTTACCTATATACTCAATCTGTTTCGCATATATAGAGTGTTTCTTAATAGTAATTGTGCGCATGTATATGTCTGAAATAAAAATTACAGCTCAGTACAGTAACCTATGAAGAAATGCCTGTCATACATGTCTTAATACCTGCCGCAACCAGATTCATGTGCCACATCTAATCATATTAGAACATAAGTATGGATGATAAAATGCTGCAGATCTGTCACTTGCTGTTTAAAATGTATGGGAAATAAATGCACTGTGGTCTTTGAACTGCAGGTAGTGTGATCTCACAGAATTGTTTTAAATCTCTCAGCTTTCCTTCCCTTCCTTCCCAGATGGTACTTGCTAAGGCAATCCTATTTTTTGCTGCATCTTCTGGCTAACGCATCTGCTGATAGAGAGATTTGAAATAGCATCTCTTCCTGCTTCATGGTTTTCCTGTGCTAGCTGTTGTCAGGTAGCAAACCTGAGTGTGCCTAGTTATAGCAACACTGCTCTTTCAGATATGGGAGAAGAGGGTGAAGGAGAAACTGAAAGACATTGGCAGGGGGAGAAGAATAATAGGAGAGGGCAGGAAAAAAGAATATTGGAAGAAAATAATGAACATGGGGATAGAGGGATGGAAGCGGGAACAGGCAGGAGGGAAAACAACAGGGAACTTAAATGAACTTAGCAGTACAATCCCTTTTGCTGTCACAGCCTTCACTGTAAAATTTTACAAATTTAATATGTGATTATAGTGCACGCACACTAAAATCATCACCAAAGCATGAATTTGTGTGTCTAGAGTGATTCCTGCCCCCTTCCCTCAAACATTCTATATGTCCATGAGAGTTTATGTCAGCCACCACATTCAGTCTACAGATAAAGACACTTGGCATTTGGCTCATCTGAAATGTCTTTGCTGCATTCTGGCAGGTGAAAACTTACTGCTGGGTAAGGTTGCCTGTGCACACACAGTTGGGAATGGTGTCTGTGGTGGAATGGGAGAGCACAGGTCTGATGCTGCCCCAAGTATGCCATCATTAGGAAAACTGCTGCCTGGTGTGGACTAGCGAGAGCTCCACTGTACCTAAAGGTGATATGTTCTATCACTTTGCTTACCTGGCTTTCCATGTGAGGTGACATGAGAATATTTTGGGACATCTATTGTTTTTTTTACATGAATTTCAACTGATTTGATACTAGGATATAAACAGAGTCCGTGTACCCTAGAGAATTGTAATAGTGAGCTGGGCTATGCCACTAAGGGATAGATGGAGGCTCCTCTTCCAGTTCAGTTTATCAGAGCATAGTGGAATGCTGACACTGTCTGCGTTAAAGGAATAAAATGCTTTCATACCCTCTTACCTTGGGGCTGTATCTGCATCGTATTTAGACAGGCATTTGGCTTTGGGACTCCATTGCAGAGCTCATACTAGAAAATTTGATCTGAGGTTTCTCAATGTCTTCCAGTCTAGTACTCTGTGTTTTCTGTTTCTCATGGTTAGGTTGTTTGAACCTAAATAGAATAAAGGCAAATAGGAGAGCAACCCACAGTATCAGCTGAAAGCAACAGACTTCTTCACCCAGAAATGTAATGGTAGGTAAGGGAAATGCTGAGAAGGAGGGCACAGAGAGGGAAGGTGTGTGTTTGCTTGCAGTAGATGGGTGCTGGTACTGCACAAAAGTCCTGGGCTCTGCAGGTGTACTGAAGCTTCATAAGATTCCTTGTATAAAGCATATTAGGTTGAAAGGGAACAGGGAACTGACAAAGAAATGAAAGTGGGAAGAGGTGGTGAATTGTATCCATAGTACTGAAGTTGCCACAATACTACGAAGGACAGCTCCCACTTTACGTTAGCCTTTGTACGCTTTTAAATAACAGGGCCCTGAGTCACACCTGCTGGTAAATGGCTGAAAATAGCATCCTGAGCACCTGCAGGGCTGCTGCAACGATGGGGGAGGAGTTGGAAAAGAGCTGCTGCTCTTCCCTGGGGAGTTAGAAAAGGAAAGCAGCTCTAATTTGCAATGGGTTCATTCTCCAGCTGGGAATGGGGTAGGGCTATCTGGTTACCAGTGCCCCAGAGCTGCTTTTCCTAGCAGCCAGCTGGATAATAGGGCTGCAAATTGCTGGTGTGTTCCTTTTTCTTTTGCACCCTCTCCCCTTTCTTACCCTTATTTTCTTGCTTCCCTATACATGCTATAGCTCCCTTGTCCTAAGCTGGTTCTTTGGAGCAAGCCCTGCGTACCACTCATCTGCGGGCAAAGCTCCCACTCAAGAGCTGTCTTTAATTCTTCTTTCTCCTAATAACGCTCTAGGGACTCTGATGCTGCAGGATCAAACCCTTTTGCCCTTGTTTCAGACCACAGACAGAAGGCAAGGTTAGCAAACTGAGTTGGAAATAAAGGTTGTCTTTTTTTTAATTAGTGCTTCAGCCTGTACAAAAATGATTTTTGTAGTGAAAACTGACCTCTAGATAGGTCTGTCAGAGGGACAACAGGAGCTTCTACACTGAGGGAAAATGGGACTCTTGTTGCCCTTGCCTGTTAGCTGGAGCCCTGTGCAGAATAGCTGAGCGTATTTGCTCCCTCGCTGTGGTGGTTCATTAGTTACCAAGACATGAGAGAGGTGTAGGGGGATGCTCTGATTAGAGGAAATTAAGATCATGAACAACTCGAGAAGTAACAAGAGTTAGGTATAAATTTTATGTTGATTTTTTTTTTGTTTTCACTATGTGAGCTATCAAATGAAAATCAGGGAAGAGACCATTTGACTTGCAACTCAGTGCAAGATGCAGAATTAATTTATTTTGAGTATTTCTGACTGTGCTGAGGTACACCAAAACATATCAATGCTTTGTCTGGATTTGGGTGGAGGGACTGTGTTCTCTTCAATCTAGTTTTTAGAAAATAATAGTTACACGTTTATACATATTTATATAGAACTCCACCTCACAGGCACTGTATGGAGACTGCTTAGAGCAGCTAGCTATGACAAAATATGTCACAATTCAACCTTTGACAGGGGTTGTGCTATCATCTTAGACATGAAGATTACTAATAAGCTTTTCCTGGTTGTATTTTTTTCAATTTATAGAAAATTGAGGAATAGTACTGTAATGCAATGGAGGACTATGCCTTCAAGTAGTTTGTGGTCATTTGGATGGTGCCAGTTTTCTTTCCCCAGCATGTTCAAGTTGCCAGACTTTCCACAATATAGATGTAGGAGATGTGGTTGTTCACATTAACTATTCCCTTCGCTCTTTTGGTGTTTGTGGTAGATACAAGTATTGGAGTCAGTCATCTAAATACCTGTTTTCTGCATTGAAGCTATCATCTTTACTCAACAGCTTCACCTGAAACAAGTAACATCAGCTGATTAAGTTGTCAAAACCATGTGTCTGTGCAAGGGTGCAGAGTTTGCTGTACCCACACTTGCCATTGGTTTGTTCACTCTAAACTGAGTCCAAGCCAAGTGTTTAATCCATTTTCCCATTCTCAACTGGTTGTACTGTCATACTTCTTTCTGCTTTTGTCTTTCTTCCACTAAAACCTGGACTCCCTGTCTTAAAACATTGACTTTTTTTTTTTCCACAAAGTAATTTAAAAGTGAGGTGTACGGGTTCGAACACCGGCTGCAGGCCAAAGTGAAGACAGATTAATGAAGGAATGTATTGGAGTAAATCGTCTCTGCTGTTGCCTATGCTTTGGC